GGGTCCTGGGTGCTGAAAAGCCTTGCTGGGAGCAGGGCCTCCTTCTTCAAACGGTTGCTTGTCCTATGGGCTCACTAATGTGCAGTTTTACGGAAAGGACCTCTCTTTTCTCCTCATCCTCCTCCCTGCCGCCCCCCCCCGCCCCCGATTCCTGCCATCTTTCTAGCCCTGAGCCATGAGCCCCTGAAGCGGGAAAATGGGCAGCTTCCATGCTGAGAGCCAGATTCACCAGGAACAGTCTCCCCATGACCACCCAGGGTCAGCGCTTCGGACTTGGTGCTTATAAAAATAATCATAAAATTTTGTGTTTTTTATGAAAAAAAAAATGTGGTTCCTCGCTCTCTGGAAACGGTGGGGTCATATTCCTGCTTTCTTTGACCTGTAGTTCTTAGATTTTAAAAAGTTGGTGTTGATTTACTAATTTCCAACATTAAACAGAAGAGTCTTCCCGATTCTGACTTTACTCACATTGTTATCAACCTGCAGAACATCCATTTGTTGGCTTTCAGCACGAAAAGAATAGCAACACATTTGTAAGAAATGGGGAGCAATCCACCACTCACCGTGAGAGTCTGTTTTATCCTTTGTCAGGAGATTGACACGTGGGTCCATGGCTATGACTTTGATACTACAGATACCTATGTTGGTCATAGTTTCCATGGCTAAGACAGATTTCAAGCCTCATGGTGAAATATTTCTAAATCACACCCAGTATTTCTTAACGAGCCTCACCATGTTCCAGGGCTTTCCCACTGAACTACCAACCAACTAGGGATGGTTGTGGGGGTTTGAGGTTATGGCTGACTTTGTGACTCGGGGGAGTCGTTGGCATTCGGGGCCTGGGAACGCGGTGCTTTGGACAGTCCTACACCAAGAAGACATCTTCTTCCTAAAATGCCTAAAGCAGCACCACTGATGAACGATTTCAGTAGGCAGGCCCCAGAGTGACAGGGGACGTAAGAGCAGAGATATTGAGAAATCCAAGCCTCCGTGGTTGAGGTCAGACACCAAGCAACAGGGCCTCTAGCCACCTGGCTGTGGGCAGGATTCCTGTCGTCAGGGAGGAGGCCGAGACGGGAAAAATGACATGGGGCTCGGAGTTCACAGGACCCGAGAAAAAGGCTCCAGATACGGAACAGCCTGGGGCAGTTCCTGCAGGACCGAGGCCGACTCCCTTCTGGGTCCTACCCCAGCTCTGCCGCCTCAATGCTGTGCAGTGTCCTTTCTCTGAGCCTCGATGTCCGCCTCTGTAAAGGCATCATTAACCTCATAGGGATGCTGTCAGGACCAGTGTTTATCAGGGCACCTGGCACATGATAAGTGTTCTGATGAGGATGGCTGCTGTGGTTATTGTTGTTATTAACAATTGGAGGGATCTAACTTGAAGAACATGGGTAGGATGTTGGGACCGTAGCCTTAAGAAGGCAGCGGTGCTGTTATCAGTTGGAATATCTGCTCGGTCTCATCACAGCGCAGAGCGTGCAGCCAGAGAGCTCGGTTCCCTCCTGCGGCAGAGGAGGGCTTGTTCTTGGGACCAGGATGGGTCGGATGTTGCAGCTGGGACTCCAGCAGGTCCTTCTGTGAGGAGAAGGGACGCGGGGGATAACAAACATTGCCAGGAGGACCAGCAGCTTAGCTGGGGAACCAGGCCTAACCCTTAGGACCAGTTAAAAAAGCAGTCACATATACAGTCTAAATACAGTTATGCAAAGTAATACCTCTGCTTGCTGGTATATTAGGGAATAACAAAAATATGCAAGGACATAACCAAAATGTTAATGTGGAAATCTTTGGGAGATGAGGCCATGACATTTTTAAAAAATATATCATAAATCGCCCTAATGGGTTTGGCTCAGTGGATAGAGTGTTGGCCTGTGGACTGAAGGGTCCTGGGTTCGATTCCGGTCAAGGGCATGCACCTTGGTTTTGGGCACATCCCCTATAGGAGGTGTGCAGGAAGCAGCTGATCAATGTTTCTCTTCATCGATGTTTCTAACTCTCTATCCCTCTCCCTTCCTCTCTGTGAAAAACCAATAAAATATATATTGAAAAAATCATAAATTTATTTTATAATTAGAAAAAAGGAGTGCGTTCTAACTTATATAAGGCAGAGTCTGTTTCGGAGGGAAGAGTGCTGGAACCACACAGAAGCGAGAAATCCTGTTATAGAATCGCAGGGAAGGTCCCAGGAGGAGCTGGCCTGGGGGGCGTTCCTGAAGGATGGGTTGGGGATACATGGAGGGAAGAAGACATTCTCAGGAGAAGTCCCAAACACGTGGGCAATCATGACACGTGTACCAGTGGCTCTCACATCCACTCTTTGCCCTGCTTCGCGGTTCTGGAGCTGGACACGGTCGACATTCCTCCTCTGCCAGCTGGCACAGCTGTAGGCCTTGTCCTGCTCAGATATGTTCGGAGGATGGAGAAAGAACATCCCGGTGAAGGGAGGGACTGCAAAGAGCAGGCCCGGAGTAGCCAGCGAAAGCCGAGGCAAATCAGGTGGGGTCTCAGACTCCAGTGAAACATGCTTCACTGCGTGTTCTACTAACAAGCACATTTCATCTGCAAAATGGCTCGTTTTTCCTCAGTGGAACACTTTGAACTCATTTCTACCTTAATTGGTAAATCTCCTTTAACCAACGGTACTTAGAAACTAGAGCAGAATGTCTCAGGGGAAGAAATGCAGTTCGCACAAACATGTTTGACGATCTATTGTTTACATACTACCCTTTAATCAAAGTACAGTGAGAATTTT